GAGGAGATCGTGTGAGGAACGAAAGAGAACTTCTGGGCAGTGGTGGGGCCAGTTTCAAAAAACTGCAGAGAAGAGAGTGCACAGGAGATGTGCTACTGAAGCCTGATGTTCCACTAGGAACCTAAAGAACAAAGAAGTAATAACATATAATATTGGGAAAGAAGCAGATAAAATCTATCACATGTTCTGTTTTATCTAATCTCGCTGACATTTTTCACTTGGTAGATAAGAACATTGCTTTCACTAATATTCACCGCATACAGCCTCATATTTCGAAATCTGTTTAAACTTATCCTTTACACACAACAGAAGCAGTAGGTATTCGAACTAATGATCCACGTCTTTGTATCAAGAAGATGTTTGTACATCCCACATGTTTCCTTTGGCCAGGAAATACCAAATAAACAACTTTATCATTGAAATTTTCCCTACCCGCATCTTGTTCTGCACTCCTTAAATATGCTTACTATTTTCGTTTCGACTTTGTTTATCCAAGTGCTTTGTAATTCAGTATTACGCAGTATTACGGAGTGTCTTCATTTAATGCTGCTTTCCTGGTTCTTATCACCGTTATCATCGGTATTGTAAGTGCTTTAGTCAACGTTATCACTTTTATTATTTATATTATTATTATTATTATTACCATCTTTATTTACAAGACATTATCACATTAACCGATAAATTCACATAATTTGTTTAAATTTTGGTGCAAATTAGGTTATTTGCACTATTGTAAACCCTGAAGAGGATCACTTGAAAACAATATCGTTCGCTTATATGTTCTGTTCTAATTTAAATGATGGGAACTTTACAAACACCTGGTGGTTAGTTGTTCTGACCAGCAAGACTCAGGCTTGTGATATTAATCAAGTATAATTATTGGTATATTTCCTTTAAATCATTAACTTTCTATTAATCTGATAAAAATATGCAAAGAAATTTTTAGTGCTTTTTTACTGAAAAACTATAGCATAAAATCAGAAGCTGTTTCTGCCGAAACTGTTACTCTCACCCCCTGAGCAGGGGTCAGTTAAACCAAAGTAGTAGACACTTCATTCTGACAGGTGTTAACAAATAGAAGACCCAGATTTAGTGCTTTCTACCACTTTCTACCGACGAAGCAAAATCTTTAAAAATTCATTTTGAGTAACAGAGGTTAAAAATAACGCTTGGAATATTGTGCTATCTTCTACTTTTGATAAAAATATATCCAACTTAGACTGCTTAGCTATGTTGTAGGCAGTCTGATTAAAAAAAATGGAATGGAAGGGTAGAAGTAACTGGTTTTCGAACTTTTTCGAGTGCAAATGAAGGTATCGAGAATAGAAATAAACGTATTACAATTTATTTAACTCGTATAAACATACTGTGACATAAATTTGGATTTTGTAGCTGACATTAAGAGTCAAATAAACGATATGAGAATTTTTCACTTTACAACAGAAGACTAAACATTCTCAATCTTGAAATAGATAACAAGGTTTGATTGATTTTACTCAATTTTTGTCGACATAAAGAACGGAATTCTATCAATGTAGTAACCTGAGCAACTACAAGTAAGTTGAGACTAAACGGGTTTCATAGAATTAGAAATCAAATATATATACGTTCCTAGAAGTAAACCAACAGCTTATGATACTTACAATCAAAGTATTCACAGATAGGATCTCAGACTATAAGATTTCATAGTTTATATATTTAGGTTAACAAGCTACTCTTTATTATCCACATATTTCTGATCAAGTTGCATACTTTCTTGGCAAAAGACTTCAGTGACAAGAAAAGGTAAGAAAGAAAAAGTAGAATACTGATGTAAGTTTTCATCTTCACCTAGGTCAGAAATAGGTCATCTATTTTGAAAATGATAGTAACAGCATTAAGTGCAAAAGACAAAATAAATATTTAATGAATTCTCATCAAAATTAGATTCCTATGGCCAGTATAGAAATGTCCAGTGATCTTGTCTTATGAAGAAAAAATCATTTAAATCTTTCTTCTTCGTCGTACTACTGGCTTTAAAGTAGCAGTACAGCAGTCTTTGTTTAGTTGTTTTCACTAAGTATAGTTCAATCCAGCCAAAAATATTTGTTAATTTCACTCAGGTAAATTGTTTTTTGTTTTAATCTCTGAATTTTTCTTATTTGATCTCTCCAAATTTAACTTGATTAACCTGATTTAATAAACATTAATGCTAGCAAACTCATTATCGTCCAGCTAATTACGTGTAAGTGATAGTTACAAATACAACCCAGATAACAACATCTAATACCTAGGGAATCCTCCAGTCGTTGAGAGATCAGGACAAGCACTTAAACAATAAGTCAACTGATTTAGCAGAAGTGAAAAATGTTTTTATCCTTATTACAACTTTTGAATGAGGAAACAGATAATGTTTTTTCAAGGAACTAATGTAAGAAACTCAAAATTACTAATTAGTTTCGTTTCTCCAAACTTTATCAGAGAACTTCATGATGCTAAACTTTATTCAGTGAAAACTCTTCTCCTTGAAATAATTTTGTAGAGCTGCAAAAGCACTAAACCGAATTACCCAGATTTTTATTATTTAGCTTTTATTTATTTTAATGCCCTGTAGTTTTTCTACTACTTTTGGTGGTAACAGGCACTCAAAACTACTTTTCAGTTTACTAAAAAGTACAGCGAATTTCTCACTTCTACCAATCATAAGCGTTTAGTGTTCATCATGGTTGCTCTAATATTACAGACAATTTAAATTGTCTTTAGTAATGATGGATAATGACTAGCAGTGGAATCCAGGATGCACATTTCGTCCTATTTGGGACTTGTCAGCTAAATGTACCTGTTTCCCAGTGAGTGATGTTTTTCCCACCGTGACTCGGACTCGGGTACATCTAACTGACCAGTCCCAAGAAGAACGAAATGTGCATCCTGGATTCCACTGCTAGCCACGATCCATCATTACTATACATAATTAAAACACAAGCAATATCGAGGCATCCGCACAGGAGCCCATTTGCCAACAGAGACCTATAATTCAGTCGCATCAACGACGATATAATACAAGCAATTATACTACTTTTAATTGCTATCAGATTTTAATCTTATTAGCACTCCAGTAACATAGTTTAGCTACTCAGTCTATGTATCAGATAATAAACTGATTTTTGACTCCAATCCCTATTTTCCTATTGAAAGCCGAAGATCTTCAGTTGTAGTGATTGTAATCATTCTTTCAAATTTATGCGCTTAGTTTCTGTTTTTCTTATTCATAAGGTGATCACATGCTCGTACTTGGTAAAACGTTGATCAAATGATCAAAGATTTAGCAAATGAAGTCATCATATGACTTAGAAGGGAATATTGATGTGAATTTACAATGTTCAAAAATATTTCAGTATTCAATAATCATTAGTAAAAGTGGTTATTATATAGTCTTTCCCAATAATACAGATCAACTGATTCAGGATTGAGCAGTGATCTGTCAAATTACCTAAAAATATTCTTCACACAGTGTGAAAATAATCAAACTGAATCGCTATGTTCTACTTTAAGTAGCCTGTTTCAACATTTAAGTTAAAGCTCAAAGATGAAAAATATTTCTACAAATTCCACCATCTCGGTAACCATCTTACTCTAAAATACAAATACTTAGATGAATCGGCCATCCTTAGATAACTGATGTAGCTGCCTAATCAATAGCGTTTGCAACTGATAGAAATCTAGCAACCACTCAGTGACCACATTGCAAAATATGATTGAAAAGCTTCGGTCAGCACTGGATACAAAAGGATAGAACCACACCAGTTACCCACCGCTGAACAGTTCATCTGCATCACTCATTCCTACAGGGGTCAGTCAAGTCTTAACTAGCTTGGTCGTTCAATCTCTAATCTCTTTACTGAACAAAATAGATTGGAATCACCGAGAGAACATCAGTTTCCTTATACTTGCAGATACTATTTGTTGTTGCTGAGATAAACATGGCTTCTTGAGAAGAACTTGCTACATCTAAGACAGAATATATAATTTTGTTGTGAAGATACATTAAATGAACTTTGCATTGCTGATGGCGAACTGAGTACTTATTATTCAGTTTTCGTGCCCAATAAATGAATCTACATTTCGCCTTACTAATTCGAAGGCACTTAATAAAAGAGATTTACATACGCCTGAGCATCTTCAGCCTTTGTATTCAGCTTGTTGACTTACAGTATAATCAACCATATATATATAACCATTTCGGACTCGCTATCTGGATGCACATACACCTCAGCAAGTGATTGTTTCCCCAGTGTAACTTGAATACAGCACCCATGTCTTCAAACGCCAAAGCGTTATCCACTAAGCCCATGGGCAACGAACGCTATAGAACAATAGATGTCGGGCCGTTCGATACTGTATAGCATTGGGAAATGACAAG